TCCTATGGGTGTAGGGCTGGGGCCGGACCCATGGCTGTGGGGCTGGGGCCGGACCCACACATTGTGTCCCATGGGTGTGGGGCTGGGGCTGGACCCACGGCTGTGGGGCTGGGGCCGGACCCACACATTGTGTCCCATGGGTGTGGGGCTGGGGCCGGACCCATGGCTGTGGGGCTGGGGTCCCGACCCACACATTGTGTCCCATGGGTGTGGGGCTGGGGGCTGGACCCACGGCTGTGGGGCTGGGGTCCTGAGCCATGGGTGTGGGGCTGGGGTCCCGACCCACACATTGTGTCCCATGGGTGTGGGGCTGGGGTCCTGACCCATGGGTGTGGGGCTGGGGTCTCGACCCACGGATGTGGGGCTGGGATCTGGACGCACACACTGCCCCAAGGATGTGGGGCTGGGGTCCTGACCTATACATTGTGTCCCATGGGTGTGGGGCTGCAGTCCCCGCCCCACATGTATGTGTGCCAGGGCTCCCTGCCCCACATACTGTGCCCCACATCTCYCCACACACGCGAGGGTGCCGGGGGGGGGCCAGTCCCGCCCCCCAACCCCTTTTATTCCCCCGCAGATCCTGGAGGACCTGCTGGAGATCGACCGCGTCACGGCGCATTTCTGAGCGCGCCGTCCTCGTCGTTGTCCCCGTCCCCGTCACCGTCCCCGTCCCCGTCACCGTCCCCGTCACCGTCCCCGTCACCGTCACGGACCTTTATTGGCGCCCGCCTAGGCCAGCAGCTGCTCCTGGAGCTGCTCGTCGGGCGCCAGCAGCCCCCAGGCCACCAGCAGCCGCAGCAGCGTCGCCGTCAGCCGCGCCGAGAGGCTCTCCAGCCTGCCGGGGACACGGGGGCCGTGGGGACACGGGGGACCTGGGGGACACGGGGCACCCCCGGGACCCCCCCGTTACCTGAGGGCCACCTCGAAGCGGAGGCCGTCCCAGGCGACGCGGAGCCAGCGGCCCAGGCGGCTGCGGCGGAGGCCGCTGGCGCGCTCGCCGCGCAGGCGGCTCAGGCTGCGCACGGCGCTGCGGGTGACACCGGGTGCCAATAAAACACGTGTGTGTGTGTGTGTGTCCCCCCAACACCGCGTCCCCCGCGGGCGTCACCTCCTGGCCATGAGCGCGTAGCGGTCGCCGGGCGCGCCCAGGGCGGCGTGGATGCTGCGCACGGTGTTGAGGTTGCGCAGCACGAGCAGCAGCGGCGGCGGCAGCGCCCGC